TCTAATGAAGAATGGACACTTGCCACCTGGCCCATGCTCCCATCCCTTCCCTCGTTTTGGTTTCCAAGAGGATTATTTCTATCTGGATTCTATAAGGACTGTTTCTATCTGTATTCCATGACCCCTTTCCTTATATTCAGGCTTTATCTTTGGTGGGATGTTCCCTGGGATTCAGGGTTTGAGATGAAAATCTATATGCAGAAAGTCTGCTGAGGACTCCTGCTGGTGTCAGTGTGCTGGGGAGTATAGGAACTAGGATTAGTCTGTGGGAGTGGCCTGAAAAGAGTGTCAGAATCATGTGAAAGCTGGGAAGACCCTTCAGAGCAATCTCACTCTATTACTCAGTATCAGCAAATGTTGCTTGACACACACTTCCTGCCCTTCCCACTCATTCTCCAAGAAAGTGACACGGCCCTGTATGAGAAGGTCACCAAAGGGGCAGTTTCTAGAGAGACATTACTTTGTAGTGAGTGTCACAGTCATAAAGGAGGTGATGTGGGAGCCACACCGTGCCAGCAACTACTACAGATGTGGTTCTGTCCCTTCCTGCTCCTCCTTTGAAGCCCCATAAGCCTGTCTAGTCCAGTCTTCACAGACTTGGCCTTGTCTAAAATGAACTTGAGGAGACGATCTAGATGGATCTTAGCTTCTTCCATAGGGTTGCCAAAGCTTACATTTTTGAAAGTCTAACCAAGAACTGCGGGAGCAATTACACATAATGATAAGTTACTCCAGCTCTTATAGAAATGGCAGTGTATAAATTCACTGTGGTTATAGTCTATAGCTCTGTAGAGGAGTAAAGCGGGACCTCGTCTAGAGTCTGATCAATACCTAGACATGAGAAGGAAGTGTAACGGGCTCAAAAGTCTGGAAAACTCACTTTCTAGAGTTTAGTCATCAACTAAGCCCCTTCCTCAATTAGACACAAGCTCTGGGAAAGATCATTTGCAGCTCAGAGCTAATCTCTGCCTTGTCAAAGCTTCTGATGACAAAATCCTTAGAATGACTCACCTGAAGTCATGAATGTTTGAGAATTTTCACCTACAAAAGCACACATGGTTTCAGCCAATTGTAGAATAATTGTATTCTGAGTTTGCGTGGGCCCTTGTTAAACTGCAAGTGACTTTTAAAGATACCTCTCTGAACCCTAAAACTGTTGGAAGCCTTGATGTTTTCATGTTCATTTGACTTCATAGATGGAAAGGGCGTCCTGAAAATGTGTTTAGGGGAGGATCTATAATCCCCACTTATCTAAAACTAGAAATGCTTTAGATTGGAAAACTGGGAAAGCTACCATCCTCCTGTGTACAATTCCTGGGGAAAACCTTGGTTTGTATTCCACAAGCAAACTTTTATGTACTGAAGATACCCTATTAAAATCTGTAAGCATAAAAATCTGCTGAGTTTGGTGAGGGCTCCAAGAAAACATGTTCTCATGCAGTACAAATAGCAGGAGGTACCTGCCTTTTTTTCTTCTGACCCACGGCATCCATTTTCCCTTTGGAGAAGTGCCATAGAGGAGAATATATGAAATGGTGTGGGGAAAATCCAGGAGTTAGCCAGAAGCATTTTAAATGTTCTTCTTAAGTTTCAGGGTCTACTGTTCAGTGGCCACCACAAAGGGTTACCTGTATATTGAAATATTTGGTTTGAGTGTACATTGTATCCATGCATAGTAGGCAGTCTGGAGATGGGTTTTAATTTTTTTTTTATTTTTTTGAGACAGGGTTTCTCTGTAGCTTTGGAGCCTGTCCTAGAACCAGCTTTTGTAGACCAGACTCACAGAGTTCTGCCTGCCTCTGCCTCCCGAGTGTTAAGATTAAAGAAGTGTGCCACCACCGCCCGGTGGGTTTTACAATTCTAATTAGAGATGGTGTCTCTCGATCTTAACTCTCCTTCAGTGGCCAGTGATTGGGGTTAAATTTGGGAGTTCATATGCAGTCATTGAGTAAAAAGCAGCTCTGCTGCCTCTCCGTCTCCTGTCTCTGTCCCTCCCTCTCATCAGCACCAACCTATATCCCTCTGTCATAACCTGTCTCAGTCTTCTGTGTTGCTCTACCACCTCTCTCTGCACTATTCATCTTCCATCTACTTACCTCACGTCATCCACCTTCTGACCTCTCTGTCATGATCACATCTGCCCGTGTACCTGCTGATGCTCTCTCTACTTTGTTTTCTCGTTGCTTCAATGTTCTTTGTGACAAATTCTTTTCCTGTTCCTCTGCTTTGAAAGTGATCTTTACATTTTAAAATTGTTCATATTTCTGAAAAATGTTAGCTTCTTTCTGGAATTTATCTGTCACTTTTCATCTTTGCAAGAGCCAAGTTCAATTAGTTGTATAGAGCTCAAGCATGGCATGTGATCTATGTAGAATCTATCAAGAACTCAAACATTGAGAACGCCTATGGAACCCAAACAAACATGGAGAACCAGTTCACATTCCTGTGGGTCAGTTTATAAAAGCACATCGAATATTTTTGGATTGTACATTTAGAAGAGCATAATTTTCTGTATAATATATCCTTAACTTTAAATTTTTATTCCTTCTGTTTTTGTGTTCATTGCATAAACTGAATGAGGTATATTTCTTTGGGAAAATAAGAGTGGTTGAACATTGAACCCTTAATGTTCATAGGTTTTATCTTGTCTGCTTGTTTGATATTACTTGATCTACCTTGTATCCATATGATATAAGTATTCTCTCTATTACTGTCTTTGGGAATGAGGAACCCCAGCTTCAGGCAGAGGTAGATCGCTTATGTTTATATAGCTAGCAAAGGCGTATCTAAGAGGCAAATGCAGGGCAGCTGCCAGGTTCTTTTTCTCTGTCAGAGAATCTCAGTTTCTCTCCATATCTCTGTCTCTCTCCATGTCTCTGTCTCACGTCATCTCTCCAGTGAGTCTTGCTTTCTTCTTATGTGAACTCAGATAGATAATTCTTATATGTAGAGATTCAGACTGATCTCTGCTACTGATGTACAAATAGTTGTGAGGTAAAACATGTGCTTTCTATGCTTGTAGTTGCTGCTGTGAGGTATACTCAGGCTCCATTTGAAAATTAAGCTCACCTATCTTTCCTGTGTCTCTGTGAGGGGGAAATGTCCAAGATGCAGCCTCCCAGGAACCAATCACCCCGTCTCTCTGCCTGTGTAACCCAAAGTTCTATGCCTGTGTGCCCCTTATAAGTCTCACCTGTGGTTTTCCTGCTTAAGCTGTGGCCTGAAAATGTTGCTGTAACCTGCCCCTACTGAGCATGGCACTGAGGCACTGCCATTGGAACAGGCTTGAAGTTTCACAGTGACTTGGTATTCAAACTGCCACAGAACAGAAGTCTACATTGTTAAGAGATGCAAATGGCATTAGAAGGTTTGGGTATGGACCCTCGGGACAGAAAAGCCCACACCCACCATAAATCCTACCTCTGCTACCTAGTTTGGGATGGGTGGAAGACTGAGATGCTCTGTGTTTCGCTGAAGCCACCCCACTCTCGGGTTCTGAGGCCTTCTTGTTTCTGGCTGAGGAAATGAGCTGTCTTCCAGTCTCAGGTCTCTGTTGTGGTACATGGAAAGGAAGATGCAATGGGGAGGTCCCAGGAGGCTTTGATGTCATTTGCTACTGGGGTCAAGAGCTCTGAGTTAGACTCTTGGTTTCCTTGGTCTGGTTTTATGTCTAGCCCTTGGCCATCCAGGGATAGAAGACTTCATTTTCATTTTAGAAGCTGTAACTTGTGTGACTGGATGTTTTTGAAGTTATGAAGGAATATTTATTACTTCAAAGAAGGGAAATGAAGAAAGAGTAGGAGAGACACTGTGTGAAGGGAGTTTGGCTGGAATTTCCTGCAAAGGTGGGAAGGACGAAGGGAGAGCTGTGCTGCCTGGACCACTGAAAATCGTTAAATCACTCTAATTAAGACAGCAATGCTAGTGAGCCCTGGAAGCGTGCTGCCAGGACTCAGGAAAACTGAGTCTGTGGACAAGAATTCTTGTTAAAATGGAAAACATGTTTTTAGTCTTTTCCCCACTCCAGAGGAGGTCCCTGCCAATTAGATGTACTATGGTCTATACTGGGACGACATCACGCTCAGAACCCAAGAAAAAGCCACAGCGGATATCCCTGAAGACATACATAAAAGTAACATTACACAGACTGAGCACATTGCGCACGCGCGCCCCCCCCACGCACATACACGCATATACATATATGTCATGTTTCATATATTTCACAGTGTCACATTTTTTCCAACAACACCACACCTCCCAGTTGGGTAAATAAACATCCAAATATATGAGCCTGTGAGGCCATTCTCATTCAAACCACTACAGCCTCTCTGCCAGCATCATAGGTTTCCTGGTAAATGAGAGAATCTGAAAATAGAGGTAGGAGGCAGGGAGGCTGGGAGGATAACTGATACCTAGTCTCATCCTGGGACAGATCAGAAGAAACTATCTTTTTTATGGATGTTAGTTCATTAGTCATTCTGTCTATTTTTTTCCCTTTAATGTAGAAGGGGTATTTATTAGTATATAGAGGATTATTACCTCTACCAGTGCTCTCTTGAGAAATTAAAAAAGACAACATCAAGCCAGGCATGGTATTTCACACTTGTAATCCCAGTACTTGAAGTGTGGAGGCAGAATAATCAGGAGTTCCGTATCATCTTTGGGAAAATAGTGAATTTGAGTGTGGCCTCATCTACATGAGAATTTGTCTCAAAAAACAAGCAAACAAACAAGAACAAACTGTAATGAATAAAACAGCAGAACGGCATGGTTTCGAGAAAGGATGCTCAGCAGATACCAATGATCTTCCATCTCAGGGGCCTCATCTTGCTGTTTGCTGTCACCTTGGTTGCTGCTGTCCTTCCTCCATGTTTTCCACTGCAAAGGAGAACAAGGTTCTTACGTTCAAAGAAGTGCTCAAGAATGACAGAGATAAGATGGGCATATCCCCCGATTGCCTGTGGAAACCTATCGCTCACCGTGCATGTGCTTATACCTAGGTGTGTTTTGCTAGACCAGGAGTTGCAGCAGCACTTTTCCTCTTCTTGGCATCTGATGGCCTGGCCCCTGGGAAGCATCAGCAGCCAACAGTGACCATCTACCTGGTTGATGTCAGTGGAAGCAATCACTCGCTTGGTGAGTTGAGAATTATTTCTTTAGAGTCGCTCAGGATTATTCCAGTAGACCTAGGAATCAGTCTGATGTTAACCTCTGAAATGTCTGTGGCCTTGCATGTTACATAGAGAAAGGGTAAACAGGTGCTACATGGTTCTAAGTGAATGGCTCAGCACACTGCTTATCACCTTATTTCTCTGCAGGAGCCTATGAACTGTCGTGTCAACATAATCCACTGGTTATCAATGTGAGCCACCATGTGAATGCCTACCCCCACCACACCTCCTCCGTGCTGCTGAATTTGTCATCCCCATTGGTGGGTATCTCAGCAGTGGCTCTAAGGACATCCTCCCACACCAGTTCTTCAGCTCCCAGTAACTGCATCCCAGAGCAAAACCATCAGGGACAGAGGTACAGAGCTAGCTTCTAATGTCTCCCCTTCTCCCAACTCCCTATGACTATAACATACTGCTACTCTTTAGGCTCATAGTTCTGTACAGCCGTTGCTTAATCATTAGCTGAAAAGGATTTAAGAACTACCAAAAAAGACTGAAGAATCAAGCAAGAAATAATGTAGAAGTCAAATTTGTGTTTTCAGATTTTTTTCTTTCCTTAGTTGAGTATAACATTTTCTTTTTGGTAAATATTAACATCTTTACACAGTCTTAACATCTTTTTTACATATAAAGGCACTGACTTTAAATCAACATTGTTATATAAACTGCCAAAAGTTTTGTGCCAAAAACTCAATGTTCCTCAAGCAATCTATATTTATCCACTTGTTCCCACCTGGACAGTGTATACAGAAAATTAAGAAGTACTTGCTAAGGCGGCATGTCACATAATCATTTAGGGTCACATGTGGACATTGGGAATATATGGACTGCATGTACCTTTCTGTGGACATTTGTGATTTTCTTCATTGAGACAGATGAGGGTCCCTGGATTTTTTCAGCAGCTAGAAAAAGGGTTATACTTCAGAGTATTCCTATACCCACCTTTGGAGGTAGGGAACACCTTGAATTAAACAATCTGTGCTGCAGTATGGATAGAATGATTCTATCAGTAGTCTAATAGGTTAGTGGAACCAAAGGGTAACAGATGCATTTCCTCAGTGAGAGAAGTGGGACCACCTGCTAGGTGACTCAGAACCTAGTCACAAAAGCTGGGGTTCCAAGCAATGTTCCATCATCTCATACAGTACCTATAAGGGAGATTAGCCCCCCAAGAGTTGGTACAGGACACATCCAGACATCAAGTCCTCAGCACAAAGGAGATTGATTAGCCCCCACAGTGGAACAAACAGGGTGGGGCGATGCAAAGGCAGACAGCAAGCAGCAGTAGCAGCAGCAAGAGCAGGCATTTTTTAAATTGTTGTTCTCTGGAGTATTTTTTTAAGGAGAAAATTTAGGAGTCTGTGCTATAGTGAGATGGTAAATCCTCATTGGATGTGTTAGCCAAATACTGAGATTTGATTGTTGGACCTTGGTGTTTTGTCTTAGGAATGAATCAGTGGCCAAACAAGGGAATGGACCTTGGGGGCTAGCTTTTGGAATGTAATCAATGGATTTTAACAAGGGAGAGAAGGGTAAAATGTAAATGTAAAACCTGTTGGTGCCATTCTTGGGTCTGTGTTTACCATGTTTTGGCCTATTAGAGAACCCTTCAGTACCTGCATATCCCTTCCCGGTATACCTGAGATCATTACAGAGTAGATAATACCAGTAGAATACACTGTTTTTCTATTGCTGGATAGCAAACCATACCAAAATGTAGTGAATCCGGACTCTCTGAACATGGCGAACAATGAGGGCTGATGAGAAGCCAAGGACAATGGCATGGGGTTTTGATCCTACTTCATGTTCTGGCTTTGTGGGAGCCTAGCCAGTTTGGATGTTCACCTTCCTAGACATGGACGGAGGGGGGAGGACCTTGGACTTTCCACAGGGCAGGGAACCCTGACTGCTCTTTGGACTGGAGAGGGAGGGGGAGAAGGTTGGGAGGAGGGGGAGGTAAATGGGAGGCTGGGAGGAGGGGGAAACCTTTTTTCCTTTTCTCAATAAAAAATATATATATTAAATATAAAAAAATGTAGTGAATCAACATTTTGATATGGCGCTGTTTGTGTGTGTGATAAATCTAGATGAACTTCAGAGAGGTGTTTTAGGCTTAGGCTCTCTTCAGAGAGGGTTCAAAGGAAGTTGGGGGATTCAATTCAAAGCTCATTGCTGTGGCGACTGCTAGCCTCAGAAGATATACCCCAGTAGATATGAAGAATGGGCCATCCCATGCTAGTGTGAGTCAGTTTGCTTCATGTAAGACTCCCCATAAACTGTTTGAGTGTCTTAGACCTGGTAGCTAATTATCCAAAAGGAAAAGAGGCCCAGAGGTGGTAAATATTACAGATATTTCCCAAGAGGAAAGCCACATCATTTTTATAACCTAATGATGGGAGTGATAGCTCACTACTTCTAATGTATTTTATGTACCAAAAATTGGTCAACAAGTGTAGCTGGTAATCAAGGGGAGAGTTTGTATAAAGATAAAAATCCATGGGGACATCTGAGAGTCTATGTACTATTTGCAGTGATTGTGGCTAGTGTTAATTGAGCATTAACTAGATTCCAGGTACTATGTTAAGTGTCAGGAAACAGCACACAGCAAGAGATAGTCTGGATGTTGGACATTGTGTCATTAGCTCACTCATCCATGATTTTTACATCTTCTTAGTGAGAAGATATCCTCAAACCTTAACACAAATGCATATGATTCAAATATAGTCTTTCATAATCCTCAACTCTTCTGGATTTTCAAATTATCTTCTGGATTGGCTCTATGTCTGCCCTGAAGCCACACAGCATTTCTTCCTGGTCCTCAAATCATGTGCTCTCAATGAGTCTGTGCACACAATGTTCCTACTCTTTGGAATGCTGTCCAGCCCTTGTCATCTCAAACTTCGTCATCAGGATGCCCATTCTGTGAAGCCCTGTCCAACTTCTTCACTGTTTCCATAGGTCATAATATATAACGTGAGCTGTATGAAAGGGTCCACCACATTTTGTGAGAATGATCTGTTTACGGGGTGCTCTTTCACACTGAACTCGGGGTTCCCTGCACTGGAAGTCCTACTGAGTGCTGTTAGTCCCTAGCAGAGTGTCCCATACACAGGAGGTAGGAGAAACTGATGTTACACAGCATTTGGTTTGCCATGCTCTATGGAACAGAATTGAACAAGAAAAGCTACAGAGCAGAAGTTACAGTCTCTGTAAACATGAAGGACCAGAATTGCCTTCAGCATCATAGCTGTGAAAGTTCAAGAAGGAAGTTAATTAATTGTGATCACTGAGGCTCGTTCTCCATGTATTTTCATGTGGCACTGTGAGAAAAACAAGTTTTATATGTGTGCACGCAAGCCAGTGGAAATAGGATATGATTCTCTAGTTTACACTGAGTACATCTGGAATGCATAAACATTTCCAAACCACATGTGACTGACAGGAGCCATGGAAATTGGCTTTTCCTTCGCAGCCAGTATGATATAGTAAATTTTTATACACAGGAAACCTAAAGAGTCTCATGTATTTTTTATCATGAATATATTTTAAATTCTTACGCACTTATAAAATAGAAGGCTTTGGTGGCAGAATTACATCAATCATTGCTGTATGTGTAGATACCCCATCACATGAAACCCTCAAATTCTAAATATCATGAAAGGAATTTCTAGCTACCTCCTTTTTACTCTTCATGACTTAAATTCCATTAGTACTTACATGGATAAGGGAGAGCTGATAGATGCCTAGAATATAAGATGTGTCACCTATTTTGTATTTGACTATTAATGATCCATAATCTGTCTCTCCTACACTATAGCTTTATTCAACTTGATTGATGCATCGAATCTCAGTTGAAATCCAAAAATCCAAAGTCTGGCTCAATGGTGACATTTAATATTTTTTTCTATGTACAAAATAATTTTTTTTCTGTATCCCACTGAAAAACCAAAAGTACAGAAAAACAAACCATAAAAACTCGTATTAAAATGAAAACCTGAGTTTAGCACTAAGAATCTAATGTTTAGTGGAGTTAAATTAAGAAACATCATTGGAAAGCAAAGCAAATACTTGTTACATTTTTAAAGAATCAACAATAAGGTGAATGTGGAATGTAGTTTTCCTGATATAGTGCTGACCTAGCATCAACAAGTCCAAGTTTTATCTCTAGGACTCCATATACAAGGCATGGTAGCACAGGCCTGAAATCCCAGAAGTGGGAAGGTAGAGGCAGAAGAAAGAATATTTTAAATGAAGACATATGGGCCACTTGGGTTTTCTTCTAGGTGAACAGTTGTACTGTTTGTTTGGAATAGAAGTCAAGGTCATAGACAAAGTTGGTAAAAGACCTTGAGATCTTATAGTTGGATCAAAGCATCCAAGTTAAAAAAAAAAAATCCACTGCACGCCTTTAATCCCAGCACTTGGGAGGCAGAGGCAGGCGGATCTCTGTGAGTTCGAGACCAGCCTGGTCTACAAGTGCTAGTTCTGGGACAGGCTCCAAAACCACAGAGAAATCCTGTCTCGAAAAACCAAAAAAAAAAAAAAATCCACTGTAAAGCTGTCTACATGATTCCAGGATGAGGTATAATCAAGAGAAAATGCAATGAAGAATTAAAGCATTGGGAATGCTTTAGATAATGCAAAGTTTTAGAAAGAAAGGAAGGAAGGAAGGAAGGAAGGAAGGAAGGAAGATGCAAAAATAGAGGGAGGGAACGCCTGCTGGCCTGATGTCTCTTAGTCTCATTTCACATTATGATGGCTGCCCAGACTCTGACTCTTCCATCTTCCTCTACGGATCTGGAGCCCATAAGTCTTGAGGCTTAGCTATAGCCCTCTTTGGGCTATGAACTGTCAGTAAGCATTCAGACCACTCTTGTTCTACTCTTTTCAGCTACATCTTAGATAAAAGTCTTATGTAGCCTGCCACGTGCATGAGAATCAGATGGACCCCAAATCTTTCATTTTGACTGTGTAAATGACCTTGGGAAACAAAACCATCTTTTTGTTCACATAAAGGGAGTTGGCATTGTTCAGATGTCTATAAGAGTAGATTAAAATGTTGAGGATCAGAACTTTGGAAATTCACGAGGTGAGCACTAGGAAAATTTATCATTAAGCAGGAATCGCTGTTGAGTGTGGTACTTCCCCTACAGTGGGACATTTGTTCTTCCAGTAACATGGATACAGTAGAAAAATTGATTGCAACCCCTCTGATCCTACATGACAGCATATCCTCAGGATCCCCTGTACTGAAAGTCTAGAGATAAAACATACCATTTCCAAAGCCATGGGCTGACATTGATGAAAGCATTGAAAACCCTGTTTATCTCTTTGCAGCTTGGACTCTCCCTTCAG